CAAGATTGGTAACAAACCTGTGTGGATCTGTTTATCACAAGAGAGGTAACAAACCAGAGTGGACCTGTTTATCACAAGAGAAGTAACAAACCTGTGTGGATCTGTTTATCACAAGATTGGTAACAAACCTGAGTGGACCTGTTTATCACTTATACTGTTGGAAACCGGGTTTCGATACCCGTGGTGGGCAGAGCACAGATAGACAATTGTGTAGCATTGTGCTTAATAACAAACGACAAATATAAAACATTTGTTCGTCAGCAGATTGTCTGAATGTTTTATTAATTAGTTGTTTATCTTTAAAATTGCAAAAACCGTAAGATAACTCATCTTTGTCCCTTAAAGGTCAAAACGTACCATTTCCATTTGGTTGTTTTTGCCAAAAAAAATTCGAATGGTTATTATTGATGGGTGGTTCTTTTATTCCTTGGGAAAGAATATTATTCAACAACTGTAAATCGGTTTAGAACTAATCTGACATCCAAGTAAGCTTTAAAAATCAGTTTCCCAATATATATATTGTACATTGTATTTATAGCAAATCAGCCTTAGCTTCTGCGAAAATACACAAAGACCGTTATTATTTACATAATATAGAGGGCGCTTCACGAGGAATTTTAATAGCGTAATTTTTGTTCCTAACTCTTCATTGACACTGAATTCATTTCATAAAAAACAATGGAGTGTTCATGCGATTTGTTAAAAATAGCTTTTGTATTTCAAATCCGCTTGTCAAGAAGTTCCCAATTAATTAAATACTTTCAGATCATCTTCTTTGAACCTGGAAGAGGAAAGCCTACTTCTAAAAGTTTTAAATGTTTTTTTTTTAATTAAATATCAGCGTGGCGGGTTTGTGCCATTTCAACAACTAAGAAGACTTCGTTTGTCTTCCCTCAAGTTACCTTGAGTCAGCACGACTCAAGTTGGAACAAATTGTCTCTCTCTGTTTGCTTCTTTGTTCTTCGACAACTTGAGATATTTGTAAAGTTAAAACACCAAATGTTACATATAGTTAATTTTTTCTATCCTAACATTTCTAATTGGAATACTTCAATGCGAAATTTGGGAAAGACTGGTTTTGTTCTCTACGATTCATTGTAACTCCAACTCACATTACGTTCAGTAAAAGATGACTGGCATGGCCATCAACTGTTTCTTTTAAAGACAAAAATAGGAAACCTAATAACCCTAGCGCTTTCGATAAGTTGTTTGGATGGATGTTGTTATGCACAAAGCTACATAATGGGTTATCTGTGCTCTGCTCACCTCGGGTATCGAAACTGGATTTTTAACGTCCTGAGCCTGCAAACTTACCGCTGAGACACCTAACGTAGAATTTGTAATTTGTTTTAACTTTGCTGGAAAGAAAATCAATAATTAAATACAATAATACAATAATTAAACAATTGGTCCACTGTATCAATATCACCGAATATTGGATTAGAATCAATAACATAGTATTATTTACATACCTACATGAATTTAGGTTCCTATATGGTGAGTTAAAAATGACTAAAAGAAACCATAAATATTATATACACATCACCAATATTTGTTTGTTTTTTTGTAATAAAGCACAAAGCTATACAATGGGCTATCTGTGCTCTGCCCACCACGGGTATCGAAACTCGGTTTCTAGCGTTATAAGTTCGAAGACATACCGCTGTACTACTGGGGGCCATAAGCAATATAATAGGCCTAACTGTATTTCTTTATTTTGCTGCCCCAAGCTGTGCTGATGAGCCTTGAATAGGCGAAATTGCAGTTCACAGCAGAGGGTACAGCCAATCAAAGAATACACTAGGCCTCTATCATAGATTATGTAATCATTAAACTGATGAAGAAAAGTCTACTTAGTGCTTGGGTTATTTGGTTTGTTAGATTTGTCTTTAATTCATCATGAAAGGGTTTGTTGTGTCCTAAAACTGAGAGTTATCTGCACCTTAATTAAGTGTCACTTTTCTATTAACAAAAGTTTCAAAAAAAACTAGTTTACCATCTCTTCTTTGTTACAACATAAATACAAATAAACATTATATATAGCGTAATGAGCCTCATTTAACATAGAGTATCGGTCTAACGTTGATTTGTAACACACTAAATCACCTCATTAAACAATCGGTCCTGATACCACCGCTTCGTTCATGCATCTCATAAGTTTCCTGAAATTATATCCTTTATTAGATGGCCAAGCGATTGTTGGTTCGTGATGATAATGAATTTATTTGTTAAACATTCTTGATGAGTTACGACCATTATTGATATTTGAATCATTATTGTTTTCAATTATTACTTCAGTTTTCTGTTACAAAAAAACAGTGCTTAGCTGTTTTGTTATTGGAAATTTAATATATATATATATTAACAATTACTTGTATTATGTACAAACAGTTTCTTAGCTCTGCACAGCCCTGACAAGATAATTATGTAAAGATACACCATTGTTATTATACATGCATGCGCCAACAAATACATGATCGCACCATCAAAAACTAACAAAACAACATAGGATTATACCATTTGATTTAGTACAAATAACATAATTTAAAATGAAAATGTCTAAGGCCATAGAACCCAAAAGCATTGAGGATATTCCATCTTTCAGACATAATAAAAATAGCAGATGCAAAACTAGAGCAGATTCTATAAGGGGTTAGGATCTGGGTGCTAGAACCCACAACGTCCCAGATACAACTACCACTCGCCGTCTACAGTCGGTTGTGGGCATAATAGTAACCGCTAAAGACATAATATATAAAGAGAGAGAATACGGTATGTTAAAACGATTTTGAATATGCAAGTCACGTGAAAAACACAACTGATATAAATTATCGGTAGAATGAAATGTATTAGAACTACATTTTAACATTGGTTGGCGTTTTATTGGGTAGTGTGAACCTAACAACAATAGTTACTTATGTAACAGCTCTTCCCGGCGCATAATATTTATACACTCATCTCGTAATGCGTATTCATAACAGAGACCTACAATTTCTAAAACTGAAATATCATTGGAACACAAAGAAAGAGAACCGTAACAAGTTGTACCCCAACAATGGTAAAAAAAGTGCAGCTTCTTGTAACACGTAAGAGTCCACAAGCACAAAGGTCAGTGGCAAAAGCCGTCCACGTGCCCAGGCAATAGTACGCAATATTTGTGCATAAGCAGTTTTTATAATATATCTATGCAACTGTCTCATACCTCAAGCAGCTGGAAAATTAAACGAGTATTCATTCTATTCTATAGTTAAGTAAATAA